CTGAGCAAGATTTATAGGATTATAGTAAAGAACATTAGAAAAATGTGGGGATGGGTGGGGTGATGCAAACCAGTCAAAAGATAAACCATCCCACATCAACTTGCTACCAGCTAAAAACCCCATTATGAAAAGACCTTTTTTAAATCAGGTTTTCCTGCTCTCCCTGACACACACCAAACCACTTACACCCCTTCTCACAAGCTTTTCTTTCCCAGTCTTTAACACAGAGTTACTTGCTTTCTTCTCTCTTGACAATGCCATTAGTGCTCCAAGTCTCTTGTGTTCAAACATCATACACTTGACACCAACCTGAAGTGCATTTGCAAAGACGAAGCAGAATTCCTGTTTTCTGTATTACTTCTTGCAAATAGATCATACAGATTGAAAAGACCACCACTTGCTAAAGGTCTCACATCACTATTTTCTCCCCTATCAGTACTTCCTCAAACTTAACACCCATGTCCGTACCTCGGCTTAGTAAACAATCCCACTAAACGCACCTTGCTAGCCCCTACACAGATTCTTTACCTTCTCAGAGTTCGTTTGTCACCAAATTACTAAGTGACTAGGTCTCACTGTCAGTGTAACACAGGTCTTCTCACACCTGCTTTGCAAGCCTCTGTTCTGGGGCTTTCTCTCACGTACCCTCCAAGGAACCACAAGAACCAGAGTTTGGTCCTAGAGGACTTCGATCACCCCAAACAACAGCAGCAACTCTGTCTCAGTACTTGGCAATTCCCAAGCTTCTCACTGCTCCCCTAGCTCAGTTTTCTTTGCTAAGAGGTCAATGCCAGAAGTGCTTCCTGCAGGTCACTGTGGATTGCTCTTTGCAAATGGGTCTTGCCCTTGGGCTTGGATTCCCCAGGAGTCCAGACTCCTGTGGGCAGGTAAACCCTCAACAACTAGGGCAAAAAGTCTCTCTCACTTATGTCATGATTCCTCTCAGGTACAAACCATATACTACCACGCTTGTAAATAAATTACCTGTCTGTAGGGTCCTGGTAGGAGGTTCAGCATTGATACACAGCTGATATGCAAAGCAATATTTTCAGTTAAGCACTTGATAATAAGGTTACATACCAAGCTACAACAAATGCTGAGGGAACCAGTGACCTGTGCCAGGCAGATCACTTGGAAAAAACCCTTAATGGCTGAGTTAAATGACCTTTCTCCCCTCCATGAGAAGAAAACCAAGTACTGAATATCCCTATGCATTAAACACTAGAGCATCACTCAGCACAAATACATTTTGTGTGACTTATCTCCAGGATTCTAAAAACGGGGATAGCAGAGAAGGGCTGAGTAACACCACAGAGCCCTGTTATATGGACACCCAACTGCATTTCCTTCTAAAGGTTACAGCACAATCCAGATGACCTTCATGGGCTTAAGAGAACCGTTTCATAAATGAGAACAGTAATCATCAAAGAGAACTGAATTAGAAAGACAGACCACACAGATCCAAGTGAACTTGAACATTGCTGTCATAGCACTATTTATAATTATTCTCTCCAGAACAAAAAGTGTCAGTAGGCATCTGTCTATGTAACAAGACAAACTTCAGAGCAGCTCAATTCCCCATATCATTTACTTTCAGTAATTGCATGCATTTGCTTTTTGAACATTTCTTAGCAGAAGAGCCTTAAGCCTGAATGGTAATGTGAAGAACTTAGTAGAGAGGGAGGGGGAGGTGCCAGCAGGCAGAAAGAAAAGAGAGGGAAGCTAAATGAAGGCTCCCTACTGCATCCATTCACTTCAGAATAACACTGCCTTCTTCTGCAAGAGGTCTGTGAGACCCTTCACAGTAATTCAGGAGCTTGTCATCAGATTTGCTTTTCAACTGAGAGGCTCATGAAGCACGTTCAAAGAACTGACTCTCAGTTCTGTCTCTGCGTAGAGCTGAAAGCTGCCTTTTAACCTTCTGTTTTGCACAGTTTCATCTGCTCAGCGCATAGTGCTGGTCAAGATTACAGAACATTTTTCTTGCTGAATGCCAAACAGATGTTATGAAACACATTTAGTGGAACATATATAAACACATGTCTTAGTATTTTGTCATAATAATAGCCCAAAAAAAGCCCAAAACCTGAAGTTGAGAGGGAAATGCAAAATGAAATCCTGGTCCACAGCTGGTCTTCATGCCACATGTAAAAAGCTGCTGTGACCCAGGAATCTTTGAAGATGCGCTATCAGGTACTCAGGCTACAAATTAGTAAACTAAATATGAGGACTCTCCTCTAGCAGAAGAAGCAGCCACACTAATAAACTTTCTTACCCTCCAAAACAGTGTCTCCACATTTTGCCTGTTAGGAATGATACTTCCGACGTGCTAACTCACAAACTGTGTCTTTGAGGGATCTGCTGAGACTGTGCTAGTTGGTCTGAAACTGTCCCAGCGATTGCTCTAACGATTTACACATCTAGGCAATCAAGTTATAGTGCCCAGAAACATCCTCTGGTGTTATTTAATTTAATAGCATAGATGTAGTCCCAGTTTCTCTTGGCCTCTGGCTATGGATCCAGAAACACTCTCAAGTTCCCATATTCAGATCCAGGCTTCACTGATGGCAGACTCAGGCATGCAAAAAAAGTCCTCCTCAGGGCCTTGATTTCTGTGTAAAGAAAATGGATAAAAGCCAGTAGCAGAGGTCAGGCTTTATGGAGTATACTCTAGCCTTCATTACAGCTCTGGGCATGGAGTGCAGGGCTCCAGAAGCATCTCTTTGCAAACTGGAGGGCTTTCAGCAAGTTGGCTAGATCGAACAACCGGCTTCTACTCAGGTTGAAGTTCTTTTATGGGGCCATAAAAGTGTATGAGAGATTCAAGTCATAGATTGTCTAGGTAAAACAGTATTCAAATCTGAGCTGTAAACTGTCTGACACTGACAAACAGATGCATATTTGGGAGCACAAGGGGACATGTCCTGAAAGCAAAAATGATAACATCAGCCTTCAAAGTAACAGATAAATTACATTTGCTGTGGTTTGACAGGAACACATTCATGTGATATTCTTTGGTCTGGGAAAAACCACCAGCTAACTGGTGAGAAGCCCTGAGAAACAGGTTTTTGTAATAGTTGTGTTTATTCTCTTTATCTGGGTCAGAGCCAGTTCCCTTAAAATTCATAGTAGTCCCATTTTGGACTTTCATGGGGGCTGAACTGAAAACTGTGGCTCTAATTTTCCCATTTGCAGAGCATACTGATGGCTCTACCTATTTATCCATCCTAACCACTGCCAGTGTACATGGTTCCTTCTATTTCTCCCAGCCTGCAGCAGCTGTCTGCATGTCCTGTGAAATATTGCTGGTCATTTCTTACCAACAGCACAGCACTGTGAAGGCTCTGCGAATCCATGGACTCTTGGTCAGAGCTCTGACAACAGATGCTGTGACCCGGCCTGATCTTCTGCCTCCCCAAACCACTTGGGCATGGGTGTTCTTGTACTACAACTAGTGATTTGCTGGATGATTGCCATGGCCAAAGGACAGGAGGCACAAAACCAAGATATGTTCAAAGAAGATGACTGTGGCGACTTAGGGATCTTATAAGGCCATGCTTGAGTTTCACACTCAGCCCCATTTTCCATCTGTCAAGGAGTAATGATTTATTAGGAATGATGTTCCAACAGAATTATGTTTTTCTTTCATTTTCAAAAGCTGAAAATGACCTGGAATTAAGTCACATTTGCTTCACAAAGTAGATATAAACAGCATAAAAAATGGGATAAATGAAGTGATCAAAAATACATCTAAAATATACAGAGTGCTGGCAATTTCAGAGGATTTTTTATTACAGTGAGTAGCTCTAGAAGAAAGCAGCCTAATATTCCAGAGTCACTCAGTTGTCAGGTAAACTTTCAGTTTCTGGGTATTCCAATAGTTACTGGTTTGGGTTCCAAATAACCTCAAAGTATCTAATTTTAAAAACTTAAAACTGTCCCAATAATTATACTCCTAGTAAGTAAAATATTTAAGCTTGTACTCAAACTCCATTGATTTAACAAAATGTAAACATGCACATGAGTGCTCCTCTGGGATGTGCCAGGATCACCTTCAAGCATCATTCAAGTACTGCTGATGGGCTGACTTAAGTCAGAAAAACAGTTCTCAGGATTTCTGTAAAGGCATCTTAACCCTGTTAAGTCTCAACAGGAGTTGAACCAGGGACAGCATCTCCCTTACAAGAACCTGATTCTTCCCTGTTCCGCTTCAGAGTGAAGCTGACACAACTCCACTAGCAACTCCCACGTCAAATTGTGTAATATGGGGAAAGACTGAGTGCCAGCTTTCCATTCCTGACCTCTAACATAATGTTGACACAAAGTACTGGTCAGGGTCCCAGCCTCTTCCTGCATCTGTTCATTATCTGTAAAATGTCTGTAAAACAGTCTGTCTTGCCTATTTCCCAGGGAAGCAGTAAGCATAATCTGATTAATAAGTGCAGAAGCACTTTGAGTTTCTTAGTTAAAATACACTGCACAAATATTGTCCAGGCCAATATTTTTGCATTATAAACTAGGCAGAAAGTGAAAAGAACAAAAAGGAATGGATTAATTGCTACATTCATTTAATATAATTCATAAATGGATAAATGCTTGTAGCTATTTGACTTGGCAACATCTACAGACCTCTGCAGCAACAAACCAAACAGACTGACAAGCAGCAGGAGCAAATCCCTGCAATAAAGACATCAGTAGCAGACAGGCTTTACATTCTTGTTCAGGCTGCTTTTATTCCAGAGCTGCAGATGTATAGACATATAATACTCCAACTTGCTCTTAACTGTACTAAACTTACTGAGCTTTATTCAAATAGCTACATGAACTAGCTGTGTGCAAGAGAAATGCAGTCTTCTAGGTCAGACTGCATCTTCTGGTGCTATTAAGAAACAAGAACTTTCAGACAAACAGGAAAAATCTACTATTTGAGTTGCATTCAGTCAACTGGACTTTTCTGTAAGATGGTAAATTATTTTATCTTCTTTTTCCTTAATGTAAAGGTTAACAACAGAATACCCGGGACACTACGGAGAAGATATGGACATGATGATGTACACTTATGACCATTATATCCGTGGAGCAACCACAACGTTCTCTGCTGTAGACAGGTTTGCTTTTCATCTGTTTCACTAGAAACTACCAAAAAAACAAAAATAAAAGTTTTCCCTTTTTTATTTTTCCCAAACAATGCCTGGCTACACATCATCTGCTGTGGTGCTCAGCATCAGGCTAGTACTTCTAAGGACCAAAGTTCCATGTGCATTTGGCTAATTGTCCAGAGTTGTGTATCAAGAAAAGGGCATCTTCATGCACAAGGGGATCATCTGTGACATCCATCTGAGTAGTGAAAAATATAGTAATGGCAGGCTTGGCTAAATCTGAACTCCATAAAGCTTAACAGACCTTCAGTATTGTTTCTCACCTACCTCTAGTTAGACCATCTTTTATCTAACCCAGTAAAGTCTCAGCTTGGAACACCCTGTCCTTTCAGGGGATCAGGGACTTATGTTGGCCCACTTTAATTTACAGAGAAGTAGGGAATCTGCCAGCATGCAAAGATAAGATCATCCAAACTGCAATCTGAATGCTGCAAACTGCCCAGTCCATTGCAACACAATTCTAACAGATCTGATCTTCACACCAGGAATTAAGGCAATGCTGTGCACATTGATCCCTTTCCAGAAAATGAGTTCACTGCTTTTTCTTCATCAGTCCTACTTAGCCAGGCCCTGTGAGTCCCTACAGCTTGTGAAGTTGTAGTTGGATCTTGATTCTTTCCTCTCGAGCTGACCTCTAATACATCAACTGTGAGTTATTTTTTTGCTGATGTTTTTTATCAGACACCTCAGCCCAGTATATTAAAGCATTTGTTATCACGCACAGCGCAGACAGCAAGGCAAGACATGGCCTATTGTTGCCAAGACTGGCTACAGGAGACGTGGGGAGAGAGGAGAGAAGTAGGTTAAACACACTGTATTTAAACACACAACATTACAAGCTGTCTCCAATAACCTTCAAAGGAGCTGAGGTGCTTTTGTCACTATGATGCTCTCAGCTTGCCAGACTTCACTAGAGATTCCCCCAGTCAAAAGTTTACGTAAAATAAGAAGGCCTTTCCAGAAATTATAACACAGACAGAATGCTGGGGGTCCATAACTGTAATTTTCTGGCCAAAATTCATTAGCCTGTTTATTAACAAATGGAAGCCACATCTGCAATTTTTTCCTACAAGTGGAAGCATTACTTCCACAGTTAATGGACTCAAAGATATCTGTTTATACCTTTGGATAAAGAATTCACAAGGTTGCAAGGGTGATCCTTGTTCTGGGTTTTTTCTCTTAAATATTCCTCAGTGCTGTTCCTAATCCTTGTTCCTCATGGCCATAGCAGAGAGGAGGGGAGATAATACAGACAGTATGTTCCCTTGCAACTGGATCCCAGCTGTCCTTGGATGTGGACCAGGGTAAAGTCAGGAATCACAAGGATGAGCCTGGAGAACAGAGCAGTTGAGGTAACCGATGCCTCTGAGCATGGGGAAGAAGCCACCAACACTTTTGTCCTACCACTGCTGTGACACCACAGATGCATCTGCAGCAGTAGCAGGTGATAACCATAGAGAAAACACTTTATGACTTTAAATCTAAGAAACTTCTCGGTGCCAGTGAACTTCCTAGTCCCCAGCTTCCAGAAGGACTAAAACCAATGTGTGTTGCCTTGCATAAGGAACAAAAACCACTCCTGCCTCCCCAGTTCATAATTCAGATTCGGGCAGTAACTCTCCTGAACGGCACACTTGCAAAAGTCAGCAGAGTCTGTCATCCCAGATGGTTCTTTGCAGCTGGGCTGGAGGAGCATAGGAGCAAACAAGCCATTCCGGCTCCCAGCCCGCCGCAGCGTGCACTGTGCAGCTCATGTAGACTGCTTCTCATTTTCCAGAATGTTAAACTTGTGTCCACACTGTTCAGCCCATGACAGGCGATGTTCTTGAGCTAATGAGAAACACAAAAGAAGCGTCTGAAGGTATTTTAGTTTAAGCTTTCCTAATCACTTCAAACAGGTATTTTAAAACTTTTTGAGTAAACTTGCAGAAATCATAACCTCCCTTCCTGCTCCCTAAGACATTGCATCACTGGGGTCACAGCTGATGCACAGGTATTTCAGAGAGCACGTGATGCCCCTGGCAAAAGCTGTAGAAAGGTGGCATCCCCACCTCCCCTTCTGTAATCGGTCTCTGTGAGTTTCCATGCCTGTGTTATCAGAAATTAATGAAGGAGTTGCTGTTCATCATCAGAGGTTTTAAATCTGTGGAGAACAGATTTTAGAAGTGGTTCATGTTTACATTTTTCAGTCCCATTTAAAATGGGGTCAAAAAGAAGAAAGCAGCTGGAAAGAATTAGCAGAGGCTTGAAGTATCTCTGGGAGCACGTCTGGGAGCAGCATGGTGGTAACGCTGATGCAGACAGGACGATCTATGGACTTAAGTAAGGGAGTCTTTGCAGGGAAAGGCAGGATCTGATACAGTCAAGTTTCAGAGATGGACACGGGGTATGTGAAGCAGGTTGTAAACAACTGAAACTGCCCACATAGACATGCACGTTGTAAACCATTGGCAAAATAGCTTAAAAAATAATATCAAAATATCTTCAAAACAGCTTCAGTTTGAGCTCTGAAACATCCGAAGTGATGATGACACAGCTCCCTCGTGGAGCCTTTTTATGGGGCTGTGGTGTGGTTGGATCAGTCTCTTGAGTCCAGATTATCTTTCAGTGATCTTTCTTAACTGGTCAATTATCTTCCCTGAAAGACAGATCAACACCCAAATACCCCAGCAGTAAGTACATTTGAAATGCCTGGACAAGCTGGATATCTACCGAGCTCAGCTGAGCTAAATTACAGGGTATTTTAGGTCACTAATAAGTTTCATATGACCAAAGAAAGAGGATTTTGTCAAACTCAATATGAATAGGAATTCACAGAAATTTTTAACTGAATTGGAAACAGATTATTTGGCAATATTTCAAGATAAAATATATTTTCTCTATAGCATCAAAAATTTAAATCTGTCAGCACATGACAGCTAGAGAAAAAATGTGACAGTTGAATACTGACTCCCCAAGCCAAGGAAAATGCATTAAATTAGAAATTTGGGGGGTACCTATGACCTGGTGTTAAGGATCTGCAAAGGCAAGTTCATATATCCTAGAGTATTCCACAAAGGTCAATTCCTGATGGGACCTGCACCACCAATGGAAAACTTGTAAGGGATCTACAAATTGAAACAGGCTGATAACTATTGAATTAAATACAAAACACCAGTGGTACAAAGTAATTGCCTGCATCCTGAGAAGTTGGATGTGTGTGCTGAACTTCAAACACAAGTAATGCAAAAAAAGATTAATTAAGACACTAAATGCATAAACCTATTGTCCATCAACCACATGCATGTATGCTAAAGTGTCTGCAAATTCTGTCTGGAAATGGCAGGGAGATGTGCCAGGGGAGGTTTAGGTTGGACATGAGGAAAAGGTTCTTCACCCAGAGGGTGGTGGAGCACTGGAACAGGCTCCCCAGGGAGGTGCTCATGGCACCAAGCCTGACACCATTAAAGACGCATTTGGCCAAGGCCCTCAGACACATGGTCTGAATCTTGGGGTTGTCCTATGCTAGGGCAAGAGCTGGACTTGATGATCCTTGTGGGTCTCTTCCAACTCACAACATTCTATGGTTCTATGAAACCTAAAAATGAATCTTGCATTTCATTAATCTTTAGCAACGGTTTTATCAGGCAATTACAATTAAAAACCATCTAGGAAAGGCCTAAAGAAAACAAAAAATAAACACTATATAACTAAACACAGATTTGCTGGTGAGTATGAAACAGAGTCAGTGCCAAACAACACTCAGCATAAACTGGTGAAGTAGCATAGTAAATTTCCAATTAAAAAGCAAACCTCAGTTAAAGAAAGCTGAAATGAGACACTTTATACCTACACAGGTCTTAAGAGTCAAATTAATTTTATGCCAGGATAGAGTCACCCAGTCAATGAAACCATGTATAAAAGCAATTAATACCAAAATTGTGTCTCAGCACATCCCTAAGAGGCAGCAGGTTCTGTACCAGTTTCCTCACTGTTTGGAGCTGGCCACCAAAAACCCCAGAACTGTGCAGAGGCCTTGTAAAGCAAGCTCCTATTGAACCACCCCAGCAGCACCACCTGTGCCACCCCTCAGGTTTAGAAGATAACTATTAGCAGAATCCAAACTTTCAGAAACCTCTTGGAGTACTACCCATTACCAATTGAAATGGTGGCTGCCATCTGCAAGCACTGTACTTTAGATCTCAACTCCTGCTAGCCAGTACCAAGCAGCCTAAATCAAACATCTGCTCCACAGCAGGACAGTATTTGGTCCCCTGAAGTCACGCCTTTTTGTGAAGGGAAAATTTAACGCACAATAAGCTAAGGTAGAAATTTGCAGCCTGTTGTAGCTATTGTGTGCTAAATCACTGGCCTCCACTGTTGAATCCTGTTGCTCCGACCATGCTTCCTACTAAAAATTGTTAGTAGATATTGTATCAGTCTCCTGAGAGAGAACACAGACATCCAATTACTCACAAACCAGGAAGAGCTTAAACTCTTCTTACTCTCATAAATGTTGCTCTGCCTCACATGAGACTTGTGGAGATCAAAGATGAAAAGTTAATTTAATTTCTCTCACTATTGATTCCTTCACACCTTTAATAGAGCACATGAGCTAGAAGACCTAGCAGTGAAAGAAAAACAGTGTGAATTTTGCTGTGTGGATAACTCCTCACTTAGCTTGAAAATCACCCATATATTTTACTTTGTACACATTCCCAAGCAATATATCACATGACAATATTGTTTGACAGAACCATCCTTTTCCTCTTGGTCACTGATTTAAAGTCAATTTAGGATTGATCACCATCAAGAGTCACTGATCTCTAAAGGAAACTCAGAGACCTAATTATTCAGAGAGCTGATTTTCTTACCTTGTAAGAGAGTGTGAAGGAATTATAATTATCAGACATAATTAATCTCCTTCCAGCCCATAAAAACACAAAGCACTCAGAGGAAAGTCAGCTACTGGCAGACAGATGTTCTTGTTGCCACAATACCTGGTGTAAAGTTATTCTTACGTGTATAATCTTATCCTCTGCATTTCTGGCTCACCAAGATCTTTCTTTTGTCTGCCTTCCACACAGGGATCGTCAGTGGAAATTCATTGTCTGCAGGATGACAGAGTATGACTGCCCATTTCAAAACGTCTAAAAAGATCAAGCGTACTCCACTTGGAAAGCTTGGAGACAGACAGGGCGGGATGAGGGTCAGTAATTATGGGAGAAGGGCAATTAGACTCACAAAAAAAGTACCAAGACTCATCAGCCTTCTGCTGAAGATACAATTCTTTTCCCTCTGGAGCTATTAAATAAATTGCCAGCCTATGTGCTTGCAACAGTGTTTTTTGGAGGATTCCTTCAAAGCTGCACTGGCAGTTGTATCCCCCAACTAGAATTGCTTATGACATACACGTTTATGATACACAAGACTATGGTGTATGCAGTTACCTTTTCTATATACACATATAGCCATTCTGAACACATACCACTTTCTTTCACATAGCAGCTTTGTATAAATTGCTCCCCAGCACAGTCACTCCAAATGAGGTGGAAATATACTATAAGCTTTCCAACATCCACTAGACTTTCCTGTCTCTGTACTTTGAACCAATCCAGCGATCCCTACCAGCTTCTCAGTGTCCAGTAGCTGCAAGTGGCATCAGGAGGTCTCTGACGTACTGCATCTGGCATTACCTGTGACAGCCCTCAACATAACTCCATTGCAACAAAGATCTGCCTGCACAAGGGAATTCCAGGTATTTACAACACTGGAAGATGCCAATACCTGATTAAAACAAGAGTAGATCCACCAATAAAAACAGAAGCCTAACCCAGCTTTAGTGAGAGTCTCTTTTATCTTGTCTTAAAAGTCCCTCACGGCATAACCAGCAGCTCCCCTCTGGGCAATCCCAGGAGCAGGTTGCCCTCTCAGTAAGCACGTGTACTGCTCTTGTCAGGAGTCTACTTTTCAGGTAGACTGGGCTTCTACTATGGGCACCTGTGCAACATCCATCCTAACTTGGTAATATATTCTTGGCTTAGAATAGACAAATAAAGCTAATGACTTAGGTGGCCTCAGTTCCTCCAACCTGCAGATCCCATTCCCTGTAAAAGATAAGCTGACCATGTTTCAAGACTACACAGCACTTGTGCAGCGGTAATTCAACAAGAAAGACTATTGATCTGATCTGGGAAGATCTGAGCTAGAATTTTTGCTCTTGAACAAAGCAGAATGTAGGGCTCAGTTTCTTAGCTAATGAAGTAAAAGGTAAACTGAGCAGCAGCTTCGGCAGTGCTGGCTCAAGGGCCGTGATGACCTCACGTACCAATTTAAGGTGGTAAAGCTTCACAGGGAACAGTGGTGTCAGCCAGTCAGTTTCCTTGTTCCAAGCATTTTTAATGTATTTACTAGCATACCCTCAAGTGTGAGCATTAAAACTACACTTGTCCAATAAAAGAATAACAGGTTTTGCACTGCTGTAGCCTTGTTCTTTCTTGATTTTAGTTACACTAGCCTATTAATTTGCACACAAAGAAACCCTCTGTCATTCTCAGAGACCATCACGGTGATTAGCAAGTTTCTGAGAGAGTCAGTTGCTGAGACATGTAAGTAATGGTGTGAAAGAGAAATCAGGAGGCCTGAAGAAGCTTGTTAGCTAACACTGGTAGACAGACAAAGGAAGCCAAGAGAGCTCCAAACAGGAGAGCACCAGAGGACAACAAACTCACGCCGGGGAGTTGGTGGAAAAGGCCAGGCTCTATAATTAAGCTTTGAAGGATCATCTCGGGGAATATCTGCTCTAGCTGGACACCCACCTCCCAAACAGCTTTGACAATTTAGGCTGCTCTCAATTCTGTGTGCACACCATGGGCTCATGGAGGCCCCTGAGGGGACAGTGCAAGACCAGCTTAAACTGATTTAGATCCACAGTGCCACAGAAAGGAGCAGCTCTGCTCTCCTGTCCACTGGAGCTGCAGTATCATATTGTCACAGAGAATCACCTTTCTCCCTCATCCCTGTCCCAGTCACTTCCTTCCACCCCTGCTCTATTCCCAGCTCCACCCTAGCAGTGTATCTGTGTAGGATACATTTCACAGGACTCCTCTTCAGAAAGTTAAGTAATTCTCAGATGAGGAAAGGTGTGGGTGGGAAACAGAATGTATCTTGGGGGAAGGCAGAAATGGGATGTGGACCAAAAAAAAACCCCCAAAAGCAGAACTGAGACAGAAAGAGTGGTTCCTCTGAAGTCCTAGGACAGCTAGTTAGCAAAGGTAGGAACTGAACTTAGTTCTTATCTAATTTGCAGCATCCACTTCTAATGTTTAGGAAATCTTTGTGTGTGGGAAGACATTGCTCCAAAACTGATAAGGTTCCAGCCCAAATTCCTCAGCACAGAGCAGGGCGATGATGAGCCTGCCTTGCAAAAGTTCACTGACTTCAAAATCTGATCAATTCTGCTTTGACTTTCCTTAAGTCACTCTGGAAAAGAGCCTTTCAAGCTGCTCAGGACACCTTACCGAACCTGAACCAGCTTTCACTCCTGCTAACACAAACCACTGCAGGGAAATGAACAGGTTGTGCCTCTTTGGACCACGTGCAATTGAGCACAGATGCCTGGACTGGTGAGCCCACAGCATTTCTTCATTCTTACGTGTTCTGTGGCACAGAAGCACCTCATCTGCCTTTGGACTATATGGAGTAAAAGTCACTGCTGACTTGAGAGCCAACACAGAGCCAATGCATTACTTAAGTCCCATACAGGCCTGATATTTTAAATAAACCCTTATTTTTTAATAAATAAAACATTAGGAAATAAAGTCTTTAATTTCTTTACTAAACAATAACAGTATAGACTAAATGCAAACATCTGAGAGAAAAGCACACTTTTTTAAATGCTGAGCATTGCCCCAGAGATGCTACAAGGGCTGTAGATGGCATACTGACAGTGGTGTCAGTGATTTTTATTAGATAAATTAGGGCAGGGTAATCTTTGCATTCACAAAGGGAAATGCAGCAAACTTTGAAAAACAAGGAGAATTTTTTGAGCTTTTCTAACTCCAAATAAAAAGGGTGAAGAAGAAAAAGTGGGGTAGACTGGCTGGGGAAGAGAAATACCAATACTGACTCCCTTTGTGGGTCTTATTTAATGTGAAGCTCAGTGAAGGCTGGTGCTAAGCCAAACCCACATCCTCCATTTGATCCACTCCTCTTGAAAAGAGGTTTGGGTAAGCAAACAGCGTAAGTACTTGGGGAAAACACAGACAGTTCCAACAATCCCAAACAGTCAAAGAGAAGGACTTGATTGCTCTTCTCCTAAATCTCAAAATTAACTTAAAAAACATGGGATTTTTGTAGGGAAAAAAAAGAGTTGTATTTTTTCCTATATTCTGATTTCTCAGTTTGCAGAGTATATAAGCACTTCCGACATTTTTCAACATTTTTCACTTTCAGTGTTTTTCAAGTGCTTCAAACAGTATTTTTCAATTACTTCTCAACAACACTGAGCCTAGAAATGTGTTTTTTAAGCGAAGGCTGACATTCTTGTTTAATGACTTCACAGTAAGAGCTGGGATTAGTTTTACAGCACATCAAATACTATGAGACTAATGATAAATATATCAGACTTGGCAACACAGCACTGATTAAAAAAAGGAATAGCAAACCCATAGCCATGTTAAAAAAAAAGGTATATTTCCTGTAAAATCAAGAGAGACCTTTCAACCTCTTCCAGTCCAGTGTTCAGGATTTTGTAATACGAGATAAACCTGGCAGAGAGTCATGGCATCACCTACGCAGAGAGATGCCAACACAGCTGAAGGGAAACCAGTCTGTGGATGAAGCAGAAGACCTGGCAGAAGACCAGCTGGCTCTTAGCAAAACTTGCTTAGACTTGACCCTTGACTCACAGCCATTGAATCCTTTTCTGGTTTTAAACTTCATTTCAAGCCCATGTTTATCGCACCAGCAAGGCCTTACTGTACTGGCCTGCATCTTTAAGGCTACAGTACTGTGTGCAATCAGAGAGCAGGAACGTCTCTGGTAGTAGCACTTTGTGCCAGAGCTGTTGGCGTGAACCGTAGGCAGGAGGAGTTCTGCTAATAACACATTATCAAACATAAAACATTGCTTGTGCCTAGATTTACTTTTCAAGACACAGTAGTTACACAGGGGACTTATTCCTCAGTAATTCAGGGTACTGGTATGTGTGCAGCTGATGCTCTGCATAGTGATCTGGACCTACGCATTGAGAAGTTTAGAGAAGGCAACGGGGCTGCCCACATGCTGAAAATGAAAGACACACACAAGTGCCTGTGGGTCAGAGCCAGTGGGCTTGGCTCTGTCTTTCTGAGCTCCATACCTGAACAGCATTGATCTCAATCTTATCCAGCTTGTGAACTTTGGCCAGAATCAATGGAGTTCAGTCTGAAACAGGAGTCAGGCATCTAAATACCTTTCAGGATCTTAGCACGGCTGGTGCATCTCTACAAGGCAGACTGGCAGAACTGGACCTCGAGTTAGAGGGAATCAATCGAAGGGTGTGCCAAGATACACAGGGAGGGACAAGGCACTGCATATTCTCTTCATACTTTCTCAGACATAAGAGCCCCCAGTTAGTCAGGCAGTTGGACTAGCTGACCGTTGTAGGTCCCTTCCAAACGAAATAGTCTAAACTATTCTATTCCACTTGAAAAATCTAACTGACTTAACCTCACGAAGACCAGGACACACTCTGTCTTAGGTTACCTTTAAATTGTTTAAGAAGAATAAAGAGAAGTTTTGCTGAGCTTAGCATTAAAGCCATGTCAATAGGATAAATCCCAGTATGTGAGCTTTAGTTTACACGCAGGATCAAATCCTCCAGGCCTTGCCTGAACCAGACAAGTCACCACACTGCAGAACCCGGTCTTAAAAAGATCAACCCAAACTGTGGAGAACACAGAAGATGACATGGGTGAACAAGACATGGTTATATCTGAGATAAAACTGAGGAGAATAACAAGAACTGAAGCAAAAACAGTGAAAGAGAGACATGAAGCCACCTGAAGAATATGCCATTATGTAATGTCTTAAAATAAATGCATGCTCCTCTATCTTAGGAGATGAGATGACTAGGATAATTTAATACCAGTAAAATTTCAAGAATTTAGAGA